GCAGGAGACAGTTGGAGGAAGGTCCTAGCAATCTCAATATTAACTGGGATTAAAATACAATATTCTGCCCTTCTGTAGAAATCTTTGTATACTGATCTGAGAATGTGTTGTAAGTATTGATTCAAAGATGTACAAAGTTACTTGGATAATGCAAATATAGCTTCTATACACACAGGCATGCACATGCAGTTTACAGAGAGGTTAAAATTAAAACCAGGGAGAATAGGCAATAATGATTACAGAGCAACTTGGAATCACAGCTGAGCTGAGAAGCTCTTATCCTTTACCTGGTTTTCAGTGTTCTTCAGACAAAACATCAACCATGGAAATAGGTAGTCAGATGGGAGCAGATTTGCTGCGTTTCCATTTTAAAGATGCAATCTAAAGAATACAGATTATGCTCTTTATAAATTCATGGAATAATTTAGGTTGAAAGGGACCTAAGGAGGTCACCTACTCCAGCCTCCTGCTCAAAGCATGTCCAATTAGATCAGATTATTTTAAAACGTTTCAAGTAAATAACATTTTTAAGAATGTATTTTCATTGGGTCACTTGATGTTTTTATTAATAGGATTGGGGATTTAAAGTTAGCTAAGGATATTTATTTTTACTTGAACATTTTGCCAGAATGAAGGGTCAGTATTTGTACTTTTCTGGAAGCGTAGTGCGAAGTTAAAAGTTGCAAGAATGTATTTAGATGCTGATTATGTCTTATTTTATTTGGTTAGAAGTGGAGGTACTACTAAACGTCTGTTTAATATACACATATTCTTGTATAGATGATTTTCCAAGATTACTATAGATTATACATTACCAAGTAATTTGTACAGAAGGCATTCAGCACCTTTGCTATAATTTTCCTAATAAAACCTGAAATTATTATTTTGCCACGTATGAAGTGCTTATTCATAATTCAGAGGCTTTTTCACCTACTTGCTAGTTAAATTTGCTTAAAACTTGCATACTTTTTTGCAGCAGCAAGAAGTGTATATTTCATCTTTTATTTTCTGCTCAGAAAGTTTGGTTTTTTTCTCCCTGCCCCTCTGATAAGTCTCCTTTTAATCTAAAAAGCAAAAAAAAAAAGTTGTGGTATGGTTATGCAGTGACTCTTGTATTTTCTAAGTAGGAATTTATACTTGTGTTTCATTTAAATAATGCATATTTATGTTTTTTTTTTAAGTGCATATTTTGTGACTGAAATACATGTTTTTTACAGATGCATAGCTCCACTGGAGGCGGATTTTGTGACTGTGGGGATACAGAGGCATGGAAATCTGGACCTCTGTGTACTAAACATGAGCCTGGAGCATCAGGCTCTGCAAAAGAAGTAAGAATATTGGTTAAAGAATAAACAGTGTAAATACTGTCTTTTTAAAAAAATGCTTACTCCTGTATATGAAAGTATGTATATTGTGTAATTCATGTGTCAGGTCCAATCAATTTGAATCAGGGTTTCATTGGTCAAGGTGTTTGCTGGGGTCAAACATATATTTTGGACATCCTTTTTTTCCAAACAAAAGGCAAAAACAATAGAACAGTTGCATCTACTTGTCTTGTGTGTTTCTGTCTTTGATTCAAAATTAAAATTGCAGTTTCGTGTTATTTTCTTTGCTATGTGTATTACTGAGTTCTTATTTACAAATAATTGATTTCCTATTGGTTAGTTAATGTTTAGATATAGTACTTGATTTTAATAATATTTTCTTTTATCCACATAACTGAACAATTACTTTTTAAGTTACTTGTGGTGTGTGATCTGTCTCTATGACTAAAATAAGTCCCTACGTTTTAAAACTGACTTCTTATGCTGGGATGTCTCATGCTTATTATACCTCATAAAGCAGCATATTAACGAGAAATATGCCATCTTGTAAGTAGTTCTCAGAGATTGTCTGCAAATCAGTTGCTTCAGGTAAATTTTTTTTTTCTTGAGTCCTACATTCTGAGATAATCAGGACAAGAAAACCTTAGCATTTGTCATTGCAAGTAGGCCCCTTATTCCTCCTGGATTTGTTGCAAAAGTACTGTTCTTTATGATCTGGCAGAAAGTCAAATGGAATAAAGAGCACTGGTCTTACAGAAAAATGAGACCAAGCTTTCCTTCACTTGTTCATCCTTCAAAAACACATGAATCTTAATGGATTTCAGAGATTAATATACTTGAAGCTCCAAGAAAGTGTCATGTGATGACCACTTGGAGCTTGTCACTCTAACATGCATTTGCTTCTGCTTCAGTAAAGTCTGTTCTGTGGTGCAGTACTTATCCCTGAGTACTGAGCCGTCTGATATACGTCGGTATCAGCCACATGTATTACTTATGAAAACCTGTAATCAAAACAACCAGATTATTTCCTCAACATTAGAATACCCCAAAATAGCTATGGTCTGGTTAATTTTACAATATCACCCTTGCTACATATGTGTTTGATAATTTTTCCAGCACATTGTAGAGGTGCTTCCAGAATAAGAAACTAGCACAGTTCCTCTTTGGGACATATTCATTTTTGTCTTTGTGTTCTGGAGGAAAATAGGTGTATGGTGAGTGGGTTTTTTTTTTGTTTGTTTTTGTTTTGTTTAATGCTGGGTTCCTGGTACTGTTGATAAAGACAAAACTTATGTCACAAGGTGCTCAGTATCAGTTTTCTAGCTGGTTCCTGGGAGGTACTTGTTGTATCACAAAGTGAATGTAGCAATGGTCTTAAGACAAAATGTTCAGGTCTCAGTTGAGAATTAAGTGCACTTCCACTTGGAAATTAAGTGTTTCCAGCCAAAGCACCTCCATTGCTGCTAGGTAAGTGATACTACTTATGCCTTGGGTCACCAGTTGGTCTTATAGACAGTAGTGAGCATACATTATTGATTTCACCTGTGATAGCTCACAAAAAATCCCACATACCTGGATGAATGTAGACATATGAGGCACATTAAGAACTTAACTAAGAGATTCTAAACAAAATGGATTGTACCTCCCAGCTTTAAAATTTAGGTTTCTATGTGAGTTCTTCTAACAGCTGTTTCAGCACTTTACTTTGAGAATAATTGTATTTTTTGGTTCCAGTGACTCTGACCAGAGTCCCTGAAAATGGTTTATGAAACGTTTACTTCTTGCTGGGGAACCTGTTTCTCTGCAAGGTATAGACTTTGATCTCGCAGACCTGGAGTTCGCATCTGTGACAGCGTATTCTGCTTTTTACCTCCCTTTTCTTTCGAACAACTTTTTTATGACAACAAAATAATCCAAAAACAAATTTTAGGAAAAGCTACCAAAACTTTTATCAATATTTTGCCAAAAAGTTTTTTCCCTCTTGTTAAAATCACACTGTCCAAATGTTGTGGGCTCTTTTCCAAAACAATATTCAAACAAAGCTTGTAAGGAAACTGCATGCATTGAGGGTCTGCAGCATTTTATTTCTGTTTGGATGAAGCTAAGATACTCAAAATATTTTTCAGGCCATTTGTATCCAGTGGAGATAAGGTTAAAGGATAGATCGTATCAGTAATGACAGTAGCTAACACAGCGTCTCCTGGTTTTAAACTTTATTGAGAACTATAATCATACCTGTGATGATAAGGAAACAGGGAATCTCCCATGCTTGTTAGAGTAATGTTTCTCTTCCAATCTCCAAAAAAGTCTGTGGTTGGTTTCCAGTGAATTTGTTTGATCATCACTTCTGCCATGGAGTTCTTTGTTGTCAATATATGTAGTTATTGGGCAGTCACTATATGTAGACTTTCCAGTAAAAGGGCAGAAGTACAACCACTACAATAATGAAGTGTATCAGTATATGAATGTATATCATATAGTATATCAATATATACCATATGTAACTATTTGACAGATTGCATTGCATGACCGTCTTCCATTTTTAATGAAAGACTTGTCCATCAAGAATTTTTTATGACAAAGAGCTCATGGATGTTTGGACTACATCATAGTTTGTTCTGTTTTCAGAATGAAGGACATTAATAATGTAGGAATTTTCTCAGCATGTAGTGCTTATTAAAAGAAATGAGTTGCAAAGCATATTTGGAACGAACATTTTGCATATTTGTTTTCTGGCATGTTTTCTAATAGCTTAGAAGTTTGTCACGTGCTTGTCAAACAGAAAGCGCTCTTTTCTGAATCATCTTGACCAGTATTCCTTTAGTTACTCTAAGTGCAGAGGATGTGTCATGCTAGGGTGTTTATAAACCTACTCTGATCAGGTAGGAACAACTAAGAAGAGCAGTATGTTTGCAGTATGTTTGTCTGCTATGCAGAATGCCGTAAGAATGTGCTTAGGAGCTGGCTGCTATTTCTAAACAGTAGGTTAAGTTTAGAGTTCGATTTACAGAATGACCTCCTTTTAAAATGAGCCCTCAGTAGAGCGCAGGTTTCAATCTACAACATTAAGGATAAAGCACCAGAGTTTTTTTAGCATTTCTGAGATAATGAGGTGAGCATTAATAAAATAAAGTCTCCTTATGAAAATCCTAATTAAACCTTAGTTTAAAAAACCCAAAGTTTTACAATGAGGAGATACATAGAATTTGTGTCTGAGATGAGGTAAAAATACTTCTCAGACACATTTGTTTAAAAAAAAAAAATTGGTGGTTTGTTATTTTTAAACTTTGACATCTGAACATACTTTGTTCATTCTTTAGTAATTCTGTTTTTTGCAGCTTTACCTGAAGCTTAAATAATTACATGTTTTTGGGCATAGTTCTGAGGAAATTTTGGTTTTCCCCTTTCAGTTTACATTAGCTATATCTTAATTTCATTTTACTGTGACTTCTACTAATGTGGATAGCATTGGAGGTGGCATTGCATCATTTAACTTTTCACTAGTTGTATGAATGCTGTCCTCACTTTTAATAGTTTATCAGTCCTTTGGTGTGGTTTCCTTTGATTTCTTCTACAGACTGAAGGAGAGCAGCATGTCTTACTACAAGGTTCTTGCTTGCTCAGCTTTGTGTTTTCTTCCAGTTCTGTCATTTTCACTTAACATATGTTAATGGTTAAAAAGCCAAGCTCTTAACAAATACTGGAAAAAAGTTAATCTATTTGCAACTGAGCTCAGTTAGATTATTCTTAGCATTATATATTTTTTGAATTCTGCTCCAGTCTTTAAGATGTTGATAGCTTTGGCAGTCTGGGAAACAATTAATTACTCCAGACATTTACATTCTTAATTACCAAGATCTACTGTGAGCTGGTCCAAAATTAAGTGTGTCCGCACAGTGGTATTTATAGACCAGGGTTTCACTGGCAGACATTTTAGATTGCATGTTTGACTTCAAATTATGCTCCTAATGCTTCTGAGGTCAGACAATGGTTGTTTAGAGCTTTGGAAGCAATTGGTCATGTTAATGCATTTTTACTCTTCCACTGCATTTTTAGCTTTTCCGTCGTATGGACACAACATGATTTTACTTTTTTTTTAAGCAGTCTGCTTCATACATATGACTATAGTTGATTTAAGATTTTTTCAAAAACATGATTCTTTAGCTATATTGAACACATCACTCTTTCTGTTCTTTTATATTGAACGTATGTCAGGTTGTGTATTGCAGAAGTGAGTGCCCTTAGTACTTTGGAATAAATGTCACATGTGAAAAGCTTTATTCTTGGAAAGCACCTTTATTTCTCATCTTTTTTTCACTCTGGCAAAGACATGCCTATTCAGATTTTGTAGGCAGTTTGGCTGGTCCTAAAATTACAGGAAACACTGTGTAAATGCTCTAGAAAACTCAGCCTCTATTTCTGTGTCATATTTGTATATGAAATTACTGGCTTTGATTGTGTTAACAGTAGTAACAACATTATGTGTGTTGCATATGCTGGAAGGAAGATGGTACGTGGAAAAGTTCATTAGGGCCTTTGGGTTAAAGCCCTCTTTTCACACAATGTCATTGCAAAGTATCTGTCTTGTACCTGCGTACTGATTGCTTCATTCTGAAGTGCAGATTTGGTAATGATTTTGTTTGCTTATAAACTTGATTTTTTTTCCTCTCCTGCTTAAATGCTTATGGAAAGGATTAATAATGTTTTATGATGTAGGTAAATCACTTAATGAGCTGTATCTTGATGGATGGGAAATATGTCAGTTCACAGGGATATTTTAAATGATTTCTAGATCTGGGATAGGATCTCTGAAAAGAATAGAGTTAGGTTTCATTGGATGATTCTGCTCAAGAAATGTCATAAATGTTGGACAGAATACCTGTACAGGAGAGCAAGCAATGCAGGGGAAGAATTTTTGTCTGGACTGCAAACTTTTGATATCTTCAGATGTACAGAAAGCTGTTAACCAGCTTTTTTAAACTTAAGGTTTTTTTTAAAAATTGAAGTCTCCTAACACATTTGGTGAGGCCTTTCATAGTCTATTCCTATAAAAAACTGGATGCATAAAAAAAAAAGGTAGGTGAAACTATTGGAATACTACTGAGAGCCCTTGGGATTAAATAATTTTGAAGAAAAGAAATTAGGTGAGATTAATTTGCTTGAAATTCATGAAAAGGCTGATTTTCTGAAACGACTATAGTAATAAGGTATTATACCAACCCTTTTTTTTATTTTTTAAAAGTTTATTTTCTATACTAATAACACCTCCTGTTTTACAGAATTCTGAATGTCAGTTGAATGAAGAAATTATGGAGCACTCTAGGAGGGTGTTTCCCTCTGTGATAAAGTACATTGTAGATATGCTTATATGGGAAGAGGAGAAGGAACTGCCTCCTGAGCTCACAATTAGGTAAGGAGTATTTCCAACTTTCTCTTCAGGGTGTTAGAAACTTTGGTAATAATTTTACCATTGTTATTCTTACACTTATGCAAACATATTAGTGCCAAAATGCCTGTAAACAGCACTGTAGCATTTTTGACCTACAGTTATATAGAGAAAAGCTTTTGATACTTCATGGAAAAAGTAGCGTGTGATTGCTCCATCAAAGTAGGAAAACTGTTACGTGTCATGTTAAAAACACAAACGGGATCATAAAACATTGGAGAGATGAAATGATGATAGACTAATCAAATAACTTAAAAACTCCTTTGTACTTGGTACGTGGTTTCTGTGGCTTTTTCTGGTATAGATGTTAAGGGGGATGTGTCTTTGACATGAAGAATGCTTAATTTTTTTCTGTAATTGTTTTGTGTTTGACATTTCACTCAAGCTATCAACTGAGCTGTTGCTTGCATTGGATAGAATGCTGTTTACAATTCTGTTTTTATTTGTATGGTGATGCGTTGGCTTTTTCCCAGTAGAGAGAAGGTAGACAGCTACTACTGTGTCCTTTTCAATGATGAACATCATTCTTATGATCATGTCATCTATAGCCTGCAAAGGGCACTTGGCTGTGAACTTGGTGAAGCCCAGCTACATACTACTGCCATAGATAAAGAGGTTAGTGCTTTCAGGATATGGGAGAAAGTAGCTTTTTCATCATTAAGAAGTGCTACTATAGTCTCTTGATTGTAGAATATTTGTTTCTGGGTTACTGGAGCTTGAGGAGAAAGAAAGGCATGTTGTGGAGTAACTGTTAATCAGCACTTGCTTCAAGAAGGTTTTTAAACTGTAATAATTTTTTTCTTCAGGGCAAAGGGTTTCTTGAGGAAGGGAAGAGCTGATTTGTCTGAAGTTGCCCCTTTCATGTTTGGCATATTTTCTTTACCTTTTTGTTTCTTCTCAGCTGAAATTAATGTTTATTTTAATAATATTTATCTGAAAAATATACAAGTCAGCAATACGCATATTCAGTTATATTAAATCAGAAATGTACCTTACGTTTTGCAAGAGTTAGTGCTCATTCTGGTTCAGACTTGATTTGAAAATCTTGAAACTTCAAATTGAGCAAATGGAACCAGGAAGAATCCAGGAAGGAATGTGGGTGAACCTGACAATTTTGCTACTTCATTTTTCAAACTGATGTCCCATGTAAAGACCTTACACTAGTGGTTTTTTTTTTTTTTTCCCGGGGAGGGGGGGAATGATCAGTGTCTGAATTACCTTAATTGCAGTAATATTTTTTTGCCTCATGAAAGTACAAAACCTATGTGTTTGCACACGGAGAAACCTTGTTTGTAGCTGTATATTTGTTTTATATTGACATATAAAACATCTTACCAATATTAGAATTTGTTTTTAATCTATAAAAACTGTATTTTCTTGTGTTTCTCTTTGTTCAGGTAATGAAAGTTTATTTGTGTTTAGTAATGTAAGCCTAACGCAATTAAAAGTCGTGTCCTGCAGTTGCAGGTTTTATAAAATATATATATATATATGCATGCTTATAGAGTAACTTGAAAAGGTTTCCATTATGAAGGTTCCTTTTGATTGAAACCTAAATTTTAGATCCAGAGTTGATCAGACTTTTCCATAGCATAGGACCAGGTTATGTTGCTTCAATTATAACAGTTCCACAACATACAGCTACTTCCTCTCCTCTTGTGTGTAATTCTGCTGTGTGGATAACTTGTTTTGGAAGCCCATACCTCTGATTTCCTTGGAGTGGGATTTGAGGTCTAAGCTGGACCTGTTCTAAGCTTTTCTTGAAAGAGCTATCAAGTCCCTGCTTGTAATATACCCTGCTTGTTTCATATAGAGAAGAAAGAGTAGGAAAGGTTGTAGAAAAGCAATTCAGGATGAGTGTACTTTGTGCTAGGCAGGAAGTTGATGCGGTTTGTATGTAAAGTATTCTGCAGAAATCCTTCTCATCAGTTTTAATGTGTACGTGAATTTTCCTTATCTAATAATATTAAGATACACAGACTTTTTTTCTCCTGTTGCTAATGTAATTAAAATAGCTTTTTTCCTAAAAATAATTATGTTGCTTTTGATTTGCTTTTATTTGTCTAAAAGGACCATGAGTTATGTTGGTCTCTGTTTTATGTATAAAAAATATAGCAATGATCAGGCTTGTGACATTTTGGTTTGTTTTATATTGGTCTTATGCTCAATATTTTCTTTAAACAGGGTCGTCGAGCTGTTAAGGCAGGACATTATGCCTCTTGTCAGGAAGCAAAAGAAGAAATCAAGGTAACTTCCTAAAATATTTTTCTCATTAAAAAACCAAACGAATCAACCTCATAATTATTAACACTGCAGACTTATTTGACTGATGTACAGTCTTTAACTTAGTACTTACGTGCTTTTATAACCTGCCTGTGAACTTTTTGAAATTGAATTTACCCCACCACATTTGGGATAGGTAGATATATCTCTTCAGAAATAAAATATCAAACTGATTTCTTTTTTTGTTAGGCTTTGCCATTAATATGTACTTGGGAGATGTAACGGGTGGTGAAGACAAATATGAAAACTCATGTTATCTTTATATCTACTAATATTTACCTTATTCCTAGAGGCATTCTGAAAATGTTTCTCAACGACCACTTCATGTGGAGGTTCTACATGCAGATGTTATGGCTCACCAGAAGTTTGCCTTGCGCCTTGGTTCTTGGCTGAATAAACTCATGAGCTATTCAAGTAAGTGTAACTAATTTTTGTTATGATAATTCCATGTCAGTATTTGAATGACTAATTCTCTCAAAAGAGTCTTTAGCGGTGTTATAGGTGATATTCCCTTATTAAAATACTCTCACATTCCTCCTAATTATTAAATAATACAGTAGTATGAGTGCTGATGTCCATCAGTATGGTTATGAATAGCAGTACTTTTCTGTTCCTTCTTGCTACAGAACATCTCCGTCAGTGGAAGCATACATCCTCTGCATGAATTCCTGCTTCAGATTTGATAACTGTGATTAATTAGACAGTGTCACTAAAATGAACAAAATCTTAATTTAAAAACTTGTCCAGTAGTGGGGAGTGTATTTTAAGCTTTCAAACATGGTTCTGGTGTTGGGATAATGCTCATGTTTTAAAGAAGACTCCTGAATCAATCTAATTTTGGTTTCTGTTAGTGGGTTTTGTCATACCTGTGTTTTGCCAGACTAAAGCCATTAGAAAATTTCTTTTCACTGTACAAATATGCTTATTGTCCTTCTTGATGGGGTAAATCTGTTGGTCTGCTTTAGCCTCTCTTTTTAAGCTTGGATAATAAAGTGAATTTCTTCTCTTTTTCTAAACACTTGCTTTCCAGTCTTTCCTTGAAATATATTTATCAGAATTGTACCTTTTTGTAATTCTTTACAGTATTTTACAAATTTTAACTTCCTGTTCTTTTCAACTTTGTATTTATTTCCTTGATGTTATTTTCTTTGGTGGTCTGAGTTCCTCAGCCATTTGTTTTAATCGGTACAATTTTTTTGACAGTGTGATGGTTTATTTCAAAGTTTCTAGTGAAAGTTTGATTTTTATTCACTTTTTTCTTCCTAGATAGCTTTTCTTATTATTTTAAATTTTGAGATTACTCTATTTAAAATATCAACTGACATTGTCTGTTGACTCTGTGAGTATATACAAATCAGTGTCAGTGCCCCAGCAAGTCCTCAAAATTTTAGGTGTTGAAGCATTACCTTGTTAGCTGATGAGATAAGCTAAAACTAAAAAGGAGTCTCCCATGTTGGGTGTAGCATTTTGGGTTAGGAAATTGTTGTAGGTTAACTGATGATTTGATATGTTTTGGGAGAGTCTTCAAGCACAAAGATTGAAGTCTAGTGTTCCTATTCTTGTTCTTCTGGATTATATATGTAGATGCTTTAAGAACCTGAAGTTCTATACTCAGCTGGAACTTTTTGGTGGTCTGGTGGTTCCTGTTCTTTTCCTGGTTTTGCTTCAAGTGGTAGAACCATGGATCGAGAAACATTCAATACTATTTATTTCCAGGTTGTCAGAAACTTGATTCATGACACTCCACTTTTCCTTTTGAAATTAGTAATGTAAGAGCTCATTTCTGAATGTTAGTAAACTGTGGGTGATTCTGATATGAAAACTGCTTCAGCAAATACTGTATTTACTAATAGGTGCAAGAAAATACAAAATCATGTTCTGAAGTCCTACGAAAGAAGGACTTTCAGGGCCCAAGGCAGAGCCCAGCTTAGACTAGCCTAGCCTGTGCATTTCTGTGCTGACATAGTGAACTCTTCTGATGGTTCTTCTTTGCAAAGCTGTCTAATTATTTTTCATTTTAAAATACTCTTCTGCATCACTAGATTTATTAAGTAAAGTAGGTAAGAATAATAGGAAGAAATTGGGAGAGTATGTGGGAGTATGTTCACTGAGAAAAACCTTCTTAAAAAATAATTCCTACTGAAGTGCTGTCTTTTTTTTCTTAAAGAACAGAATTCTTTAATTCTCATTTTGTTGGCTCAAATAATTTAATTATTGAAGTATTCTTATAGAAATTAATAGTTTGATCTCTATAGGTGACTTTCGCCAGATCTTTTGTCAAATATGTCTCAAAGAAGAACCTGGATCTGAAAAGCCGTGCTTCATAAGCAAGTTGATGCTGTGGGATGCAAAACTTCACAAAGGTTTGTGTATCCATGTTGCTATAACCTGAATAGGCAAATTATTTTTTCATGTGTGTTACAAATGTGTAAAAATAAAGAAGTGCTATGCAGGTAGAGTTAACTTTCTTTATAGTTTTTATGTTATGGTTTTTGATGCAGCCTTTATTTTTATAGCTGAGATAATTGATATTTTGTGTATGTGTTTGCCTTCTAAATTTTTCCTTCTTTATGTATTTTGAAGAATCTTTTTACAAGATGTAACTTGAGTGGCTTTATGCTTATCCTGTGTTTTAAATACATACTGATAAATGTTAAAAATAGAAAAAGATATATTAATAACTTTGTTCACATACTCTGTAACCTTTTTAAGGCTTTTAATGATTTTTAAGTATAATTTAATAATCTGTTCCTCTTTTTCACAAAAAGCCACATCTTAGTACAATAAAGTGACGTGCATTGTATTGGCTCTTCACAGGGGCAAGGAAGGTTCTTCATGAACTTATCTTCAGTAGTTTTTTCATGGAAATGGAATACAAAAAACTTTTTGCTGTGGAATTTGTAAAGGTAATAGTTATTTTATTTTTCATGCTATGAATTTTTACTAGCTTTGTAAAATTTCCCCCAAACCTCAAAATTATTTCAATATAAGGAATGAGTTTTCAACAAGCAGAGCTTCAGCAACTAGCTCAGCCTTTACAGAGTGTATTAATTCTCATGTCATTGGTTTGTTCCTTATAATCATGTCGGTATATATGCTCATTTTGAATGCAGTGTTGTTAGTGTTCTGTGTACCTTTTGAAATGGCAGATAGACCAGTTTCAGTTGCAGCTCTTCTTTTTGAAAAAAGAAAAAAATAGTTAAGAAATATGCAAAACATAAGACCAAGAGTTTTTTGGTTTAGATGAGACACTAATCCTGATAAAGGAGACTGACACTTGATGGTTTTCTCTAGACTGAAACAAAGCAAACAATGACTTACATTACTCATTGTACACGTCTTTTATAGACAGCTGTTGAATAACTATCCATGCAGCTCACTGCAGGAGGAAGGCTTGTTTTATAATAAGTTAGTGTCTTTATTGATCCTTTTTTCAGATATTTAATTTCTTTTCTTGGGGAAGATTGGTTGTAGGAGAAAAAATTTTGGTTCCAATCTTGCAGAACAGTTAGCTTTGTCCGTATCTGCAGTATGAAGGCAGTGGGGACATGTTTAATTGCTTTGGTGCATTGAAGACATTGTGTTGGTTTTGTTGTTTAAACTGCTTCTACTAGAAAGGAAGAAGGACATTGAAATTTAATTCTTGCAAATAAAAAAATAAACACTTTTATTTAACACTTGTTTTATTTATTTCATTTCCACAATATTCTCTTTTCCTAGTATTACAAGGTATTGCAAAAAGAATACATCAGTGATGATCATGACAGAGTTCTCTCTGTGACAGCACTCTCAGTTCAGATGTTCACCGTACCTACTCTGGTATGTACAGCCTGTCTCCGCTAGAAATGTAAAATAAATGTGAGAATTGCTAGCAGTACCACCTGTGCGGACTGCTATACTTGGCAGGGAGTCTTTTTGCATTGCTGAGTTGAAAATAAATGATTCTGAGACTTGTTAAGGCTAATAAGAAGGGAGGAGCTTGAGTTTATATGAAAGTTCATTATACAAGAGGGAGGCTATGCAAATAAATAGAAGTTTTAGGCAGCATCGTTCTCTGCATTAACTTTGTGTTCATTTACTGTCACATGTACCTTCTCAAGTAACTTTAAATCCTTGGGGGGAGGGAGCAAAAACATTCATTAAATGACTTCTTGTGTGGGTGAAATATGTTA